TCAGCTGCAAGTCGTGAGTGGCAATTGTGGCCGCTGTTCTCTTCTCGCAGATGTCTTCATGCAGTTTGGTCTAGAACATAAAGAACGGTGTCAAACCCAGCACAAACACACGAGTCCCGTCCGTGCGCAGGAGGCTGACGCCTGCCATCTAACGGGCACGTCCGCAGCAGCGCGCCAGCTGAAACTGTGTGCCTACCATAGCTTAGTCTGCAGGGAAGAGCGCACAAAGAGAAATTCATCACAGATTAGGGAACTTAGGGCCAAATCAGGATAAGTTTAGTGTGAATATGTGCTTATTATCAATCCTCAACAGCTTCAACAACAGTAAAAAGCTGTTGCTATACAGGCAACGTGCCTCCATCGCCTTCTCGTTACGTTTTCCTGTTACGTTTTCCCAAAGAAGGGCCTTGGCTGTCACACCGCAGACCCATGTAACCCTGGTCAGCGCTGCACTGACCTGGGCAGCGAGGAACCTCTTGAGCGCGTTGCCCGGCCCCAGGGTGACTCCTCGGAGCGCGCAGCACACGATGAAGGGCCGCACGTCCTTCACGCCGGCGCCCACGCGCACGGTCAGGGGCGCGGGGCTCTCGGAGACGTGCAGCACCTTCACCAGGAGCCTGCTCACGTCCTCCAGCTCGTCCCGCTCCCCGTCGCCGCCGTCCTTCTTCTGGCGCTTCTCTCTCTTCTTTTTCCTGCTCTCCTCCCGCCCGCTCTCGGCCTTCCCCTTCCCGCGGCCTCCTGCCCGCAGGTATTCCAGGATGGATTTGGCCTGGCAGCCGTTGACCATCTTCTCCAGGCGCTTGTCCTTCAGCCTGTTCCCGCGGAGGTTGAGCTCCTTGAGCCGGGGGCAGTCGGCCAGCTCGGCCGGCAGCTCCGTCAGGTGGTTGTGGGAGAGGTCCAGGCTCTGCGGGAGACCCCCGGGATCAGGCCGGGCCCCGCCGGGAGCCCCGCGGCGGGAGCCCCGTCCCCGGCGCGCACCTTGAGGGCGGGCAGGGCGGCGATGGCGGCGCCCAGCTCGGCCACCTC